GACTTCCAAAAACCTTGAATCTTATAAAGATGAATAAAATGAAAATTGTTGCATGAAAAAATTTCATTTTCAAGTTTCATTTTGATGCATTTCAAATTAAATATTAATTTTTGGAGTTATCCTTCCTGGCTGAGGATCGGATATCCTTAAATCGAATTTTATGTTAACGTACATTTCAGTCACGTACATTTAGAATGACCACTTTTCATGTAAAAAATAATTTTTAATTGTGTTAAGCAAGACATCTTTGCCAGTTTACAGGGTACAAGGGGTTGCTTACTCAGAGTCGTCTCATATTTTCTACTTAATATATATTCTTAATGGAAGAACATAGTATAACGTACATTTCTTCCTTATCTCTATGATTGAAAATGTCTCTCATTCCGTAAACATATTTATATATTTGCATGTCCATTGCTCTCTCCCACTATGAACATGAAGCCAGCTTCTGCATTAATAAGACTATAGACGCAACTTTCCTGCTATGAGTGCAATTGCTCTATCACACTCGTGTAGAACAAGATCTAACACACTTATGTAACATGTTGAGAAGTATATATATGCAATGTTTTGTAAGAGGAATAGAAATAAGTTTTTAATAATATTCTTTGAAAAAAAAAAGAAATTCAGAATATTTAAAATTGCTGATTTATATCTTTAAACATTTAATTTTGTTCAATGTATTTAATTGTATAATAAAACTTTTTAAAGTAAAAGAGAACTGCCATATTTTTATTTTTTCGTATCATGCATATTTGTACAAAGAACGATAACTCTTCACACTTGGGTAATAACATTCAGAAAGAGAAAATTTCTTTAACTAGTATATCTATTTCAAGAATGATTTCAGCTATTAAAAATAATTAAAAAAAAACTAAAAAAAAAAAATCATAGAAAAGCATTTTGGAGTAATAATCATTATAAAAGCATTCTCATTTTTCATCATAGTGTTAAATTATTGATTTTTGTCCGAGGGTTTTAATAACGTTGATCGATGACGTCACAACTACATTAAAACAAAAATGTGATGACGGCGCTGCTTGTATCCAGATAACTGTGTTTAAGAGGGAAATACTTTATAAATTGTTTGTGATTTATTAGAAAAAAGGAGCATTGATCAGGTTTACTGACTTTAAAGCCGCATGTTTTTCTTTACTGAAGAAAAGAAGCTGCGTCCTTATGTAAGTCAGGATTTCCTCTGATATTCTTGAACAAAATCAAAGAATGCAAATATAAGCAATAAACAACGATTATTCAGTGAACATGGTATTATGAATAGCAATAGCTCTGCTGGCATATTTTCCATGATGCGCTAGCGCGCATCATGGAATATGCCAGCAGAGCAATTGCTATTCATAACGCCATGTTCACTGAATAACGTTGTTTATTTCTTTAAAAAGTTGCTCAAATTGTTCAATTTCATGTTACATTATCTAAGTATGAGTAAATAATCCTTTGAAATTTCAAATTAAGCCCATCAATAAATAAAGGAGAAAAGAACTATCAGTTGTATAATCTTTGTGTTTGCTTGTAAAATTGGTTGAAATAGAATTAAGCGACAGGGACATTGCACAATAAAAATGATTGATATCACAAAGAAAATGTATTTATTGTTATAAAAAGAAATATATATGATACAAGATTTTACATATCAGAAAATTTTTATTTGAGAATCAAAACTGCATATTACACAGAGGAGATTCAGCATAATATTTGCCTCAGCGACAGTAACGTACATTTCAAATAGACTACTATATTTGAATTTGGAGCTCCTCAAATACCCTTTCAGATCGATAATTATATGAATTCTTATTCATTGTTATATGACTATTTATAATGTTGATTTGAAAATTACATCATTGGTATTTCTTCTAAATGAACATGAGGCAACATTATTTGAGCCCTTATATTGAGAATGGGTGATTAGACTCGCAAATTAATTCTGCCCAGATTACTACTAGGCGAATCATTGGTGCAGTTAGACTTACACTGAAAATCTGTAATCATATAAAAAAAAAACATGAATTAAAATATAACATGCGGAAACAATGAAGATTTCTACTGAACAGACTGAGATGATAATCTGACTAATAAAATTGTGATCAACTTACACACTGCATACAAAAATCACCAACCGAATTTCTTGCAAATGAAATGTGCAAACTGCAGTATAAATATAACCTCATTCTGAGATACATCTTATGAAAAATGGAAAAAAAGTTTGCGAAAAAATAAAGATATTATATAGTTTTTTACACTGTATCTCCGTCCCCTTTCTAGAAAGCAATACGAATTAGCTGTTTAAAGTTCTTTAGAAGTCTGCAGACTGGTGCGTTGTTGTAAATAAAAAAAAATCATAATCTACAGAAACGTCCTTATAAGAGTCTGAAAAAAAATAATTCACAAAATAACATGAAAATCCAAAAAGAAAAATATAAATCCTTTTTCAAGCCATATTATGTTTGTTACACCCCCCCCCCCCCCCCCCCCCCCCTCTAGAAGGCGATACTTATTAGCTAGTTAAAACTAATCAAAAGTCTGCGAATTTAATTGATGTTAATGTGCTTTTTTTAAAGGAAAATTATAATTTAGGGATATATGCTTATTTATTTTTGCCTGAAAAAGAATAATTTACGAAGTAAATTTGTAATGACTGTTGAGGTGAAACCTGCAAAATGAGTTACACTTGGTGTAGTCAGAACTAAATAATTTGAAAGGTGTGTAAAACACACGGCCTACCGCGCCTCCGGCCGTGACCCAATATATTTAAAACAGGTGTGAACTCTGAACTGATCATAAGAATGTTTCAAATCACAAAAGAAATTCTTCCTGCGTAAACAGACTTTCAGGGTCACATGCGATTTTGATTGACAGGTGATGCACGAGGATTTCGTGCATACAGCATGCATGTATAGAGAACGAATTCATTGCACAACAGTTGTAAATAGGTTGTGTATGAACCAAAATTATCGAAATTCAATAGCATCATAGACTGATTAATTCTGACTTTGGCGATGTAAATAAAATGAAGAATGAGAATAAATACAAATTGTTTCTTTTTACAGATTGTGTAACAAGGGGTTTCTCTCTCTCTCTCTCTCTCTCTCTCTCTCTCTCTCTCTCTCTCTCTCTCTCTCTCTCTCTCTCTCTCATTCACGACATTGTTTTAACGCACTTTTTTAAGAAAAGAATAACTTATTAAATAAAGAAAAACTCATTAAAATGAGTTACTTACACTGAAATGAATATTGAAAACATAAACTAGTCTGTGAAAAGAATTTTTCTGTTACGAGAAATATTATATTGATTTTGTGTTTAAGCTGCTGATTTTCGTATCTAAATTCAAAATAATTAAAGAATAACATAAGAAAAATAAGAAAACAAAAAACTAAGAAGTCTTCTATTTCCGTTAAGTTTGTTTTTTCTAAATTATTTTTCTTTAAATTTTTATTTATAATCATTTATTTATTTATTTATTTATTTATTTATTTTATTTACCGATATTTCTCCTCTGAAGCAAACGTTTAAACGATAGATCTACGATTTTAAAAATAAGAAACAATGTACATTTCTAATTACTAAGAATAAAAAATGAAAGCAGGAAAAGTCATATTTTTTTCTATAGACCAAGCAATTAAAAATAATTTACGTGCGTAGTGTTATAGATAAATTGAAAAAATATTTTATATACTTTTTTTTCCTTTTTAAAATGAAGCCTCAACATACGTAAAAAATAAGTACGGAAATACATGTATTTACAAGGTCTAAATCAATACATTATTTAAACATAATGCCAAAGACATCGACAGGACGTTGTTTTTTTATCTGCCTTTCATTTTTTTTTTCATTTTTTCTCCATCACCGCTGCGGTGTAAATTTATGTTTAAATTGAAAGTAATTGAAATTAATTTGTTAATAACGAAAATATAATTATATACCTTCATTAAGTACTTCAAAATCGTTTAAAATAAACTAATTTTTAGCAGCTAATCAAAAAATATAGCTTACAGGCTCCGCCCACTTCATTTGCATACCGTTTCCCAAAGCGTACCGTTCACAAAACATACCGTTCCGTGCAAGAAACGAAACGTACCGTCCACAAAGCGTACCGTTCCGTTCACAAAGCGTACCGTTCCGTCCACAAAGCGTACCGTTCCGTTCACAAAGCGTACCGTTCCGTTAACAAAGCGTACGTTCCGTCCACAAAGCGTACCGTTCCGTTCACAAAGCGTACTGTTCCATGCACAAAGCGTACCGAACCGTACCTTTCAAGTGGTGTAGTGGCACTGTTTAGGGCCTGTATTAACTTATACCGTTAAAATAATTAAATATGAGAGCGATGTAAAGCAAAAACTTACCTGGGGACTTAGAAATTTTAACTAGTATAGATACAGTTAATTTAGTAAATCAACTGCAATCTGATGAACTGTATTCTACTAAATCAAAATGGAATACAAAATCTACATTACATTACATTTTACATGTATATATTATATATGTGCTTTCCTCAGCACTTTGCTTAAATCTGTAAAGGTTTTCATTATTTAGAATACCGATCATATATGTTTTACTTCTTCTACCAATTGAAGGGATTCAGTTTGCTTAAAACATAATCAATGCCATCCCCAATTTTACCGAAAATACCTCTTTCATTCTTTATTTCCTCTCTTATTTTATCCCGAAGGTTATTTATTATTTGTTTATATTTATTTTCTAATTCTGTTTTCATCATCTCCATTTCTTCATCCTTCTTTTGAAGAATCTCTTTTTGTTTTGTTTCTTCTATTTCTTTGCTCTTTTGCAATTTTTCTATTTTGCGTGCTTTTTTTTCTACCTGAGCTTTATTTTTCATTACTTCTTTTTGCATGGATTCAAGTTTTTGTTCTATAACATTCTTCTCCTCTCCTCTGCTTTTTTCAAGTTGTCTTTCAAGGTTTTTTACTTCTTCTTCAAAGAGTTTTGATCTTTCTTCTTCTTCTTCCTGCTTCTCAATCAGCTGGTCAATCAATTTGCTTTTCACGAAGCAATTCCATGCTGGCTGCGTATTCTTTTTCATATTTTTCAGCTATATTCTTTTCAATTTCCTGATATTCCATTTCTTTTTCTTCCTGTGCTCTTTTCCTGTCTTGTTCTTCCCTTTCTCTAATGATTTTTTCGGCCTTTTCATACATTTCGTTTGTGTAGTGTTTGCCATTATTATTCTCTACATTGTGAGAAATTTTTGACAAAAGATCACAAACTTGAGTATCCATATCTTCTCCTTTGAGTTTATTATTAAATGCATGTACTCTTCCATCACTTTTTTCAATGATTAATTTGAGTGCTTTTGGAAGTGTCTCCATGTGTTGTGATAATGTTATTCCTTCATTGTCCAAAGCATCCTTGTGTGTAAACAGAACAATAAAATATTTGTATATGTCTTCGCCGAAATGTTTAACAAAATGCATGGCAGCGTTGTGTTCTTCTTCTGTGTATCTGCTCACGGATAAAACCAGAATAAATGCATGGGGACCTGGTGCCGTAATACTGATGCATTTGGCTATTTCCATTTGAATATTTTCAATTGAATGTTTAGTATCAAAAATTCCTGGGGTATCAACAATCAAAATTTTTTTGTTAAATCTGATAGCGTGTTCTGCACAACATTTATCTGTAATAGAAGAAGCGGAAACACCTGATGTAAACACTTTCTCTCCAAGAATAGTATTTCCTGAAGCACTCTTCCCTGTTCCAGTTTTCCCGATCAACACAATCCTTAATTCTTCTACTGAACCATCTGCGAACCTTTTTTCAACACCTGTGTTTTTTGAAAGAATGAAAAGATAAGTACAGAATTTTTTTTTAAATACTCAATGAAGTATAGGTTATATAGTGGCCTATTTAAGTCTCCAATATGAAAATATGCGAGAAAGATATGCAAACAGGCAAACAATTATGTTTGCCTGCATAAGAATTTATGTCGCAATGCAAGTTACCAATCCCTTGAGAGATTTTTATTACATATAAAATATATGGTTACTGTCTTCAAATATAAGCGACATTTAGAGAGATAGAGGGCGAGGCTTGCCGATCCCATGTTTTCGACCCGAGCAAAAATATCGCTTACATGTCAAGACAATGACCAAGTATTTTGTTAATTCTGCAAAATATACTAAAATTTGACCTCGAAAATTATTATACCTCATATAAATAAACACAACTAAAGAAGAATCTGATTGGCTGAGGCAGTCACGTGACCGTCGTGTTCGCCCTGCAACTAAACGTCGTGTTTCACGCATTCGGTTCACCTCGGCTGACTACTCTATCCTACATCTAGATGAAACCAGCCAAGGTGTACAGAACGTGTTTCACGTCGTGTTCCCCGAGTGGGACGTCACAATGAGGCAAATGCGATGATTAATATACTGAATTCGATTGTTTAAATCTGTGATTAATTGTGTCGATACAAAATCTTAAAATATACAAGCTAATTCAGAGAATTTGTGTCCCCTGCTTAGGGAAAAGTAAACCATGCGCAGTTCGGGGGTCGGGGGGGGGGTCGGGGGTTCAGATCCCCTTCACTGAATTTGTAGAATTATTAAATGTAGACAAATGTATATATACAATGTAAGCAAATAAAATATGCCAGTATGGATGTAAAGGTTTGATGGATTATTCTTTATTATGTGTGTAGAAGATTCTTTTTATATAGAATATTTATCACACTGTAATGATGATATTATCATAAATTTTTCTTTTCACATGCTGAATACTATCGTTTAGTAATAGAATGAAAAGTATTTCGAAAAAGAATATGAATCGTCCGAGATGCGATCCCTGGCCCTCTCACATTTGAAGCGAGATACATACCACTAGACCACGGAGCCGCTTTAACATGGCGCCATTTGTATACAAACATGAAGTGACATACATGTATATATTCACGTTCGATATTGTCAAAATTTTACAAAATGCATTGTGTTGAATTTAACCTTTATTAAACAGTTCTAATAGATGTAATAAAAATATAAAGTCCTCCGAGAACCTGTTTTATACGTAATAATTCTCCTCATGTCCCTGTGCTAAAATAGCGACGGGGCGGGGCACTTTGAGAGGAGTGAGAGAGGTCCTACGGAGTTTTGGTATAATAGTACATAGCAAAAGCTCAAAATCTTCTTGAAATATCGCCAGGAAAGGATAGTGTTACACACAGACATAATGTATGAATTTACGACCTTGAACTTTGACCTTTTGACCTCAAAATCAACAGGGATCTTCCTTATACCACAGGGAGTTGTTATGTAAAATATCATTGCAAAAGCTTAAAGGGTTCTCGAGATATCGTGTGGAAACGAAAGTGTTATAACAGACAGAATTTGCTTATTTATGACCTTGACCTTTGACATTCTGACCTCAAAATCAATAGGGGTCTTCTTTAGTCCATAGGGAGTTGCTATGCTAAATTTCATTGCAAAAGCTCAAAGGGTTCTCGAGATATTGTGTGGAAACGAAAGCGTTACAGACAGACAGAAAGACGGACGGACGGACGGACAGCTAAACGGACGGACGGACAAACCCAAATTAATATCCCCCACTTTTCAAGCGGGGGGACAAAATAGTTAGAAAAGTGTTTCCATTAGTGGAGAATGAAAGTTATTAACACTGCAGTGTGTAAATCAGAATGACTTGTCACAAAGGTTTTTTTTTTATGAAACGCTAGTGGTTTGACTTACATCTATTGGTATTTCGTATTTTCTCATTAAATGTTTACTTTATTTATTGGATTCTCTTTATATTTTCTGCATTGTGCTTGATTCAATATAATAAAATAGATATTGCATGAATGCTCGGGAGACATGACGATTTCTTCGCCCATGAAAAATCATAATCCCCTCGGGCGTTGCCGTCGGGGAATATGATTTTTCATGGGCGACAAAATCTTCACGTGCCCCTCACTATCATACAATAATTGTATAATGAACTATTTTCAACTCGATTTAGACTGATATCTGCAGTGGAAACTAAGACCCCATAGCGAAAAGATCGCAATATACATTACCTCACAATGTTTTTAGTACATGTACGTCATAATACATGCACGAGGCTTTATTAGGACATTGAACACCTATCTATATTAGGATATGTTACGTACAACACAAGTCTTTTCTATGAAAGTTTTCATCAAAAGTGATTTAAAATTGATTTTATACAAAGGTTAGTAAAATTTGCACCAGCCATGCACAATGATTGGAAAAAACTTTTCAAACACACCATACACATTCCAAACCCACCGCATGACATAAGAGGTCATGTATAGCCATGGATGAATGATTGAATGAATTAAATGACGCATACATGCACGCATATTAACATACATTGTGTAATAAAATGTAGTACGTTATTAATAATAACCCTGTGACGTAATGCATTATCACCTTTCAACACCTTCAGGAACGATCATTGACAGCTGTTTTTTTTTTAAATAAAAATGGAATTCGAGAATTTACTTACTTGGTCATTGGTCATTTACAAAATTATTTTGTTAAAACACATTCTGATTGCACACACAAGTACTCTGAAGTTGACAACAAAAAGATGCTTGAGTTTCTGATTGATAATATCTATGTGGTTTTTGGAGAACATGTCTTCCAACAATCTATTTGAATTGCCATGGTACTAATTGCGATCAGCTATGAGAAGACCTTTTGTATTCATAATTCTTATTTCCTTAATTTGCTTGTTAATCATTTATCCCGTTTTAGAAATTTCTCATACGTAGAGCAAGCTATTGTGTATCGAATCAACTGAGATATGTACACTCCGTATGCAGGTGATGAAGGTATATTGATGCATAAGTTAGGGAAGTTAACGATAGAAAAGTTAGTCATCACGTTAATCATATAGCTTGGTAGTTAGATTACCATTAACGTCTTTTTCAAGTAAAATTTACATGTATTAATCAGATGTATCAGACTCTTTGGTATCTTCTATCTCAAGCTCCCCTGGTAATATCGTATCGACGTAGGAATGGAAATTACCATTGCTTATTGACAATACGTCGTCGATATATCTAAATGTCGAGTTGAAGGCGACAGCAAGTATTCTCTTCTTTTCATGTATTAGATTTTGCACAAATTCTGCTTCACAGGTCTGCTAATGACTTAGTAAAGGGTCAATAATTAATAACTAATAACGCTGTCAATATCTTAGTGATGAGAAACGAAAGAGGCTTGGTTGAACATTTACTGGAACCTGCAATGTATCTTTGTTTGTAAGGATTTTTAAAAAGTTTTGGAATCCAATATATATACGGCAGTTCAAATTCATTTTGGCTCCGTGGAATATTAAAAACATTTAAAACAGACATATGATTTTGAAGAATTTCTTCCTTAGAAAGGAAAGTATAAGAAGGATTACCATTTGAAGAATTAAATTCAAGTTCTTCTAAAATACAATTTATATAATGAGCCTTACAAACGAAGACAATGTTGTTACCTGTTTTGTCTGCAGGGACCAGTACGTACTGGTTATGTAAGATATCTATTTTTTTTCATTTTTATATTATTGAACACAGAAGGATAGATGGTTTTCATATTGCCCCTCAACTTTTTAATACGCGACTTTAACATGGAATAGAATGTAATCTGTGTGGACTTGTTTATGTTGGTGAAACCAAAGGATCGCTTAACAAAAGAATATCAGGTCATCGATTTCAAATAAATCATGGTGGTCAGCAGCTTTTATACAAACATTTTAATTTACCTGCTCATTCTATTTTATCAATGAAGTCAGAATTCTCGAAAAGATTTTATCACCACACAAATAGTCCGTTGCTGAGTACACCTTTCCGTAGACAACAAAAAGAATTTGGGATTAGAAAACTCGGGACAGCCTTTCACTATGGATGTAATGATAATATCGATAGTGTTGGAAATCTTTCTATAGTCCACAGTGTAATAATGTTAATGTGATGGGACTTTTTAACCATACAAAGAGACGTAAACGTAGTTATGGGCATCGTTCGTACAAAAAACCTGCAATATACGACGTGTCTTTTGACTACTTTGATTATTACTACCTTATGTAAATCAATAGTTAGGTCACATCATATTCGCACCAAACTTTACCCTGTCCTTTTGAAATACTTTTGAAATTTTTAAAATATTCATTTTGAAAAGGCCACGGAAAGTCTAATTTTTGATTCCTCGTCTCCAGAAGATAAGCTCGGATTTGTGATTATGGATATTGCATTTCGTAGGCTTTTAAACCCGCACGTTTTAAGGAGGATAATGCACTTAAAACAATCCGTCTTTTCCTTAAACTTCAATATGCCAATAAAGGAATTGACGCGGTTAATATAAATAATATTCCTAATCTTAAAAGGGCCCAGTCTTGTATTAATTTTTACCATATTTCAAGTTAAAGACTACACCTTGTATTTCCTACAAATATACATCGACCATTGCTTCCAAACTTTTCAATTACAGAAAAACTTGAAATGTAGACATGTAGCATGGATTTGCTATTATTGACCTGTAGCTCATCTGAGTCGAAAACTCAAGTGAGTTTTTCTTGTCACCTGTTGTCCGTTGCCTGTCTGTAAACGTTTCATATTTACAACTTCTCAAGAACCACTGGGTCAATTTTAGCGAAATTTGGTATGAAGCATCCTTGCAGGGTCAAAGTTACTCAAGAAATTATTTTTGTCCATATGGGCGTTTTGTTACATTTGATTTTAGATGGGAAAATCTGTGAAGAACTCTCGGGCCATGATGAGAATGATATTAAATACATGTTTATGTAAGCATTCTTAAGACGTGCTGATTGAAGTTTATTCAAATCAAGACAATGGGAGAAGGGTGGACTAAATTATGGGATTTAAAAATCACGACGGACAAGGTCAAATCTCTAAATGCAATTACAAAAGGATGATAATATTTTTAGAAAAATCAGTTTTTAGCACAGTTACGTATCGCAGGGGTTATAAGGAAGCATACAAAATATTCTATAATGACTAGATCAGTGCTATATTATGACGTCATAGTTTGCAAGATGACATCAATTTTGAAAAACAAGTTTTTGTAATATTCATTTTTCGATACTATATAAAATGAATAGAAACGTGTAGACATTAACAAAAATAAACTATTTAGTTATGCTGTTTCTGTCATTTTAATCAAAATCTACCGCGTCATATGTGTACATCAATTAACTTGAGAATTGATCATGTCGTGAAAAGGGAATTTAGCATGTATAAAGATACGTAAGATGGGGTTTAAAAGTAAATATCGTATAAATTTTGTGAAATTCATATGAAGTTGTGTTACTAAAACAGATATGCTAATTTCTTTTCATCGATTATATTCTCTTTCGATTGATTGATTGTACATTGTTTTTAGTCTTAGGTTTGACGCGGCGCCGGGAACAAGAATCAAACCCGGGCCTCCATATCACGATGCGAACGCTCTACCAATAGGCTACTGTGAACGGTATATTCTCTTTCGAAGACAGTCAGTTATGTATATATGTATCCCGGTCGGCCTTTCCTATGTCATTTGTGACAAAAATAATGCAGCAGAACACAAAAACAAGCTGTATGTTTCAAAAGATAAGATTTGTACAGATGGAAAGTTTGTTTCTTAAAACACTTGGGAAGGACTGCTAAAAATCCGAGTTAAGCATGGTTTAAAAGAAATCTCGGTTATATGTATAAATTTCAAAACATTGTGTGAGGTTTCGTGTGAATGCGTGGAATTATTATTCTACTGACGGGACAGTGGGATTCTAGCAGCACTTTTTAGGAAAAATAGATGTGTTTCAACTTTATTATTTACTCAAAGAAATTATTAAATTTCGGGGAAATGTACATGTCACATTGGGTAGGTTGTTCATTATTTTTAAATTGGATGTTGGAATTTATCTCTCAAATGGGAGGATGTCTTTTCCATATCGGCTTATAGTCAATTATAAATCTGAGTACAATTTACACAATTTATTGCGCGATTATATTTAAAAATATTACTAGATTTTTATGTTAACAACAACAGACTGATGTGATATGCTTGAAACGCAAGGAATTTATAATTGCAATTCTGCATGTAGCATCACTTGCGAAAAAAAATTCACTTTTATTTTTATGGTACTGAAATCCATGTACATTCTCCTTATTAACCGCCCATTCACAAATAAATATTCTTGCGATTTAATGTTTAAGAGCCATTTTGCAATAATAAGTACTCACAAAAATATAAAGAATTAAAATGATCTTTGAATTGATGTTTTTCTTCAAATCCAGATCATGCATTTATGCAAGATAAAAGCATATCAGCACTGCCTTAAGACTCGATTTAGGTATTTTGTACACAGAAAAAAGAATAATTGCTGAATAAATAGATGTACGCAAAAGCTGATGTAAATGAGCCTAGAATAATTGTGATGAAATTTGAATGATATTTTCTCTGCTTAAAATGATACGTATCCACTCTAAGAAGTGGTTGACAGTGAAAATTAAGTATTTTGTTGTACATGTACATGTATATAAGTATATGTATAATGGGTTTTTTTAACTGTGTAAAGCTTGCAATGTTTACATCAAATGTAAAGAAATTATATAGGAATCATTTTTTGCAGGATAAAAGATGAAATTTTTTTCAATCCGAAATTCCAAAAAAGTCTTCCAAATTTAAATATATGTATGAATAATAGAAGTTTATGATCCTTTCTTTTACTGTCATTGAAATACTGTAGTAACGATTTTTTTTACACCAAAAATGTCTTAACATAAAAGTTTCAAATTTCTTTTTTTTTCAAGTTTGAATTGCAGCTCATATGGCTTTTTATTAGCTCACCTGAAGAAACAAAATTATTGAGAAGCATATTTTGTATAAAACTGCTCATTTTAAAGCTGTATTTCTTCCAGAAAATATTGAGCACAGACTAGAAAAAAATTAAATTAGTGACAGAAAAATTATGTATGTTTTATACTGCGCTCTATGTTTCCCATAAGAAAAAACATCAAGAAAAATGCATATTTTCGGCTTTTTTAGTTAATTGCAAAAATAACATTATTTCTAAAGTCATTTACAGGCAGTGAGTGCATATAAATATGAAAAATATATTTGAAATATTTCTAATATAATCTCTTCTACAAAATAAATATCATTTAAACATATCTAAATACATTCTAAAATGTTGATTTCAACTTGAGGGAGCCAAAATTGGCTCTTATCATAAATAGTCGTTTGAGCTAATTAGTTAATAGACTGATGAGCTTTAAGAAAATCAGCTTTGCAAAGAAGTGAATACAAACTTTTAATAGTCATCAATCCTATCATTCTTTTGATTCTTATTCTGTTCCCAGTTGAAATACCAATCTCTTTAAAATCATTGTCACCCATGGATTTCAATATTTCTAAATCAATATCTTCTTTTCTGAAAGCTTCTAAATAGTTTTCCAATCCAAGCCTTTGTAACAGGGATTCAATATTTTCGATTTCCATGCTTAATGAATCCTGTAAAAAGAAAAACATACAATAAACGTTTAAATTGGCGTATAAATTTGGAAAAATCATCAAAGTCATAAAACATTTGTTAAAAGTTTGCCAAAGAATGGGTTTAAATTAACATTTCGGCATCGAAATGAACAACTTTTTTGAATTGCTTGGACAGCTGATTGGTCTAACGCCCTGTTCATTTACTGTAAGAGGACATATTCCGTAGATCTAGAGTTCAACCCCGGGCTGGGACGGAACTGAGACTAAGTACTGGATTCTATAGTACGAATCTTCGAAAAAGGTGCGGGACTAATTCATACGAGAATATTTACTGCGACATCAAACAAAAAAGACCAATTTCTCACATTAACAAAAAAAGTGATTTTCACTTTTAAACTGTGTAGTAATATTTAATTACATTAAAACTTACCACAACATTTTATTCGCTAGTTAAATTTTATAACAGCAAGGTATAGACAGTGTTAACATTACATCATCATGGGATATTTGACACAGTAAATTGTGCAGTGAAATGTGTATTGATTGATTTTTTTTACATTGACAAATAAATTTTTAGTAGAAGGTCATGTCAGTGACAAAGATTGAGCTTCATACTATGGAAACATGGCAAGTGGAAAACATTATTTTTATCTCAAATGTTGTGAACATGATGGATATGAATAGTCTTTTAAAATAATATATCTACCCAGGCATATGACCTCTTGTTTCCATCAGAGCATTTGTTATATATTTAATTACAGAATTATTTCGATAAGCCTATTCTGTTGTAATTCATGTATTGCACATTCAAACTTATGGTATGATCATAAGATGTTTTAAAATTTGTTTCTTTGTTTTAAAAGGAAAATTAAATTTATTTGCTTATTATAGAGTAGTTGTCAAAAGTTGAAGCATTATTCATATACTTAAAGGCAGAGATTTTAATCACCGCCTTCAAAAATAACTGGTCTGGGTATCCCTGTCAATCAAGTGCTAGAAGGTCCATCACTGGATGCTGGGACTTGATTGACACTTACTTACTGGTCCCTGTGAATACCCTGTACACCTTGTTTGGCTCTCGTGGGGACCTTCAAATTAACTTTTGATCCTTTGATTTTTACCAAACAGGGTATAGATTATGACAATGAAAATATTTAGCTTGATTATATGAATTCAATATACATTTAGTATTTAAAAGGATTATAATATAGTGTTTTTTTTTATTCAACTTTGGTATATAAAAACTTTTTTCTGATGAAATTTCTATATTAATTTTAACATGTTAAACAGTAACTATTAAATTGAAAATGTTATAATTGATTATGTTTAGAGCAACACTGTGTGAAGTAATTAAATTAAAAAATATTTATAATATTTATAAATGTTTCTAATCACGGGTAACATATTTTTCTTTGTTATTCAGATACGAATTTCAGGCAATCTTTTTTAAACATGTTTCATGGTGACAAAGAATAGGTGAAACATACTACATATTTTTTAATGAAATGTAGTTAACACGGCTCTCATTTTTATTTAATAGATGGGATTCTGGGGATGAGTGAAATAAGTCTAATTTGGTTTTAATGGAGATGTTTATAAATTAACACAAACATTTAATTTAACATCTAAAATAATCTCTGTTGTAATATTTGAATTTATAGAATGATATCATCATAATTGTTTTAAATGGCTTGAAGTGTTTTCAAACAATTGAAAATAAATCAATATAGGGTTTTGAGAAACTTTTTAATTCTAATTTAAAATTGTCTCAAAATTCCCAACACAGATATAGTTTGACATCTGGGTATTTCCGCTGCATTTTATTTCCGGAAATCTGCTTAGCATTTCCGACATTTTGTTAAATTTCATTTCCGACAATTTTTCTTTTCATTTCCGACATTTATTTTTCATTTCCTGAATTTTGCAAATAACCTCTCCAGCAATTTAATGTTAACCAAGTGGCTGGAAATGGAATTTTTAAATAATTTCTTTCAAAGCTCATTTTTAAAAATTTTAATAAAAACACACAAAAAATGTATTTATACATTTGTAGATGTAGCCGTAACTAAGACTTGTTAAAAGAGTTCAGTGAGCATGATTTTTTTTCAAGTTTTAATGTTTACTAAATTAAATGTCAATGACTGCACCGAACTTCTTTCAAAGATAATGTATTTAATATCTCGGGGGCACAATAATTTATTCTTCTTTTTTGACACGAATTCTTCAATCCTGCTTTCATAACTAAAATCACTTCCATATAAATGTCACTCTCTAACATCGGATCGTATAAATCTCGGAGATGAAAACTAAAAAAAAAAACCTCGGAAATGAAAAGTTGATAATGGCGAAAAATTCCGGAAATGAAATGCATCTAAATGCATTCTGGGTATTTCACTGTGTAAAAAATCACTTTCTGTGTATAGGAATTAGGAGACAGATGACCACAGGTAGAATGCTAGCCCCCAAGGCATTCACACCTGTACAAAATAAGCACCTCCCTCACCTGGAATTTACCACCCGGTAAAAAATCTCTGCCTTTAAATTAGAAATTAGTTTATTATTAAAAAGTTTAAACCCAAACGTAGTCCCAACTATTCCTTAAAGGGGAGAGGCTATGATTTGCACAAACTTGAATCTACACTACCTGAGAATGCTTCCATATAAATACACGTATGACCAATCATGGCTTTGCTATTCTTGAGAAGATTTTAAAAGAATTTTCTTATGTATTTCTAGGTAAAACTTTGGTCGGCCATTGTGGCCCCACCCAACCCCCGGGGTTCATGATTTGAACAAAATAGAATTTTCACTACCTGAGGATGCTTACATATAAATATGACCAATCATGGCTTTGTTATTCTAGAGAAGAAGAATTTTAAAAAATTGTCCTATATATTTCTATGTAAAACTTTGGTCAGCCATTGTGGCCCCGCCCAAACCCCGGGGGTCATGATTTGAACAAACTTGAGTCTACACTACCTGAGGATTTCCACATGAGTTTCATTTTTCATGGCAAAGTGGTTCTTGAGAAGAAGAATTTTTTTAAATGCCATTAATTTTTCACTAATTCATAATTATCTCCCCTTGGAAGAAGGTGTGGCCCTTCATTGGAAGCAACTTGAATTCCCTTAACTAAGGATATTTTGTGGCAAGTTTGGTTAAAATTGACTCAGTAGTTCCTGAGAAGAAGATGAAAATGTGAAAAGTTTACAGACAGACAGACAGCTAGACAGACAGATGCCGGACAAAATGTAATCAGAAAAGCTCACTTGACATTTCAGCTCAGGTGAGCTAAAAACCAAACAGCGTCAAAGCAGACGCTTCTGATAAACAAAATAGTTCCATTGTGAGACAATATTCAAACAAATATTTTTAACATCCCAATCGTTGGAAAAGTTAATTAATATTTTTTCTTGATAATTAAACTGAAAGAGAAATTAGATATTTGCTTTATCGGGACAATCATGAATTTGTGCACATATGATGCTGAAATAATATAATAACATATCTTGGGGTCTGGACTCTTAATTGTAATTACTGGTATATGGAATATTGTTTTATAGTCTGGTCCGATTTATAGAAAAAAAAAATACTTCTAACGGCAAATAATTATTATTTGGTCCAGCATAGTTTTTTAACCTATTTCGAGTATGCTAAATCCGAAAAAATATGCTGGCCTTCATGAA